TCATCTTCTTGTGTTCTCTTATTTATAGGAGATAAAAATACAGATTCAGAGATACAATTAATAGAGAGACATGATTAATCCTAGAGAAGATAAACAGATGCATTCTAGGAACTAGGTCTACAACTAATCTCATAAATGTCCAACAAGATACACTTAATCTAATAAATACTTCAACACTCCCCCTTAAGCTGGAACATACAAATTGAATGTACCAAGCTTGGAACAAATGAATTCCACTTGAGGTTCTCTCAAAGATTTTGTTAATGCATCTGCAAGCTGATCATTGGAACCAACAAACTCAGTACAAATTTCTTTAGTCAACAACTTCTCCCGAATAAAATGACAGTCAATCTCAATATGCTTAGTCCTCTCATGAAATACTGGGTTGGAAGCAATATAAAGAGCAGCTTGATTATCACAATACATCTTCATAGATAGAATCTCACAGAAGTTCAATTCTTGCAAGAATTGTTTTACCCAAACAAGTTCACAAGTAAGAGACGCCATTGCCCTATATTCAGCTTCAGCAGAGGATCGGGCAACAACGTTTTGCTTTTTGCTTTTCCATGAAATGATATTTCCTCCAAGGAAAACACAATAGCCTGTAGTGGAATGCCTATCCATAGGAGATCCAGCCCAGTCAGCATCACAGTACTCAAAAATTTGGGTATTTCCCTTATCTTCATATAATAATCCTTGTCCTGGAGTTTTTTTAATGTATCTTAAAGATTCGAATGATAGCATTCCAATGATCCACACAAGGAGCTTGCATAAATTGGCTGACAACACCAACTGCAAAAGACAAATCAGGTCTAGTAATTGTCAAATAAATAAGTTTCCCAACCAGTCTTCTATATCTTTCTGGGTCAGAGAAAACTTCACTCTGTCCTGCCATTAACTTCAAATTTGGATCCATAGGACTGTCCACAGGTTTGCAATCAATCATACCTGTCTCTTTTAGAATATCTAGAGCATACTTCCTTTGAGAGATGACAATACCTTCTCTTGATTGAGCTACTTTAATACCCAAGAAATATTTTAGATTTCCAAGATCCTTGGTCTGAAAATAACTACACAAGTGCTCTTTTAGCTGAGATATTTTAGCAGCATTATTCCCTGTGATGACAATATCATCAACGTACACAATTAAATAAACATGTTTGCCAGGGCGAGTGTGACAATAAAACACTCGAATGATTCGCTTCAGCTGCGTTTTAATCCAAAAGCTTGAACAATAGAGCTGAATTTTCCAAACCAAGCACGTGGAGATTGCTTTAGGCCATAAAGGGATCGACGTAATTTACAAACCAAACCAGACTCCCCCTGAGCAACAAAGCCAGGAGGTTGCTCCATGTAAACTTCTTCTTCTAAGTCACCGTGCAAAAAAGCATTTTTAATATTCAATTGATGAACAGGCCAATGACGAATGGCGGCCATGGCAAGGAACAGACGAACAGTGGTCATTTTGGCTACTGGAGAAAAAGTATCACAATGATCAAGTCCATATATTTGAGAATACCCTTTAGCCACTAACCTGGCTTTAAGATGATCAACCTGACCATTGGGCCCAACTTTAATAGCATAGATCCAACGACAACCAACTGTTTTCTTTCCCGAAGGGAGAGGAACAAGCTCCCATGTTTTGTTGTGATCAAGAGCCTGCATTTCAGAAATCATGGCTTGTCGCCATCCAGGATGATCAAGCGCTTCGACCACATTTTTGGGCATTGTAATAGAGGATATAGAGGAAATAAAAGAACAATAGGAAGGAGACAATCTATGATAACTAAGAAAATTGTAAATGGGATGAGGATTACGAGTAGAACGAGTACCTTTGCGAATGGCAATGGACCAACTGGAGTCATCGTTATTAGGAGCCGTGGTATTAGAGGATGATGGTGAAGGACCTGTTATGGATGGCTCATCTTGGGGAATGGGATTGTTCACCTGGTTCCTGCGTTGATAGGTGATGATAGGCTGTGATGATGATTCTAGAGTATTTTGGTTGGGATTTGGGGTGTTAGGAATAGGAGGTACAACTGATTCAACTAAGGGAACAGGAAAAACATTTTGGACAGAATCAATATCCTGCATAGAATAAGGGAAGAAGGATGATGATTCAAAAAATGTGACATTAGCAGACATGTACCTCTTGGTTTCAGGAGAATAACACTGATATCCTTTTTAAAGACGAGAATACCCCAAGAAGACACATTTGATAGCTCTAGGTAAGAGTTTATCTAAGCCAGGATACATGTCATGAACAAAACATATACATCCAAATACCCTATGAGAAACATGAAAAATTGGTTCCTTTGGAAATAGAATAGAGTGTGGAACTTTATTATCAAGAGAAGAAGATGACATTCTATTAATGAGAAAGCATGCAGTTAGAATAGCATCTCCCCAATGATGAATAGGCATATTGACACCCAGCAATAAGGTACGAGCAGTTTCAACCAAATGTCTATTTTTTCGTTCTGCTATACCATTTTGTTGTGGTGTGTGAGGACACGTGGACTGGTGTAAAATGCCTTGAGAATTTAGGACATTAGAAAAATCATTAGAAAAGTACTCTTTGGCATTATCACTTCGTAAAACTTTGATTACTTTTCCAAATTGAGTTTTGATTTCATTAAGGAAAGACTTAAAGATAGGCAATAGTTCAGAACGATCTTTCATAAGATAAACCCAAGTACATCTAGAAAACCCATCAATAAAAGTAACAAAATATCTAAAACCAAAAGATGTAACACAATTAGGTCCCCATATATCTGAATGAACAATATTAAAAGCAGAATCACATCTAGATTCAGAATGATTTGGAAAGGATGACCTGGTATGTTTCCCTAGTTGACAGGATTCACATTCAAATGTTTGAAGGTTCTGAAGTTCAGGAACCATTTTTTTCAATTTTGCTAAATGAGGATGCCCTAATCGCTCATGTAACAATTTAGGGGATAAGGATGCAACACAAGATAAAGATGACTTAGTCCTAAGGTAGTATAAGCCTCCAGATTCATGTCCTTCTCCAATCAGTCGACCCGTACCACGTTCCTGGATAACAAAACAATTGGCATTAAAGGTTACTGAGCAATTCAATGATTTGGTTAATTGGCTTACAAAAACAAGACTGAATGGAAAAGAAGGAACACAAAGAACATTTTGAAGGTTTAAAGAAGAAGAGATGGATACTTGACCAATTCCTTTAGAGGCTACTTCAGATCCATTAGCTAAAGATATGAGATGGGATGTTTTAGGAAATGAAAGAGAGGAGAATAAAGAGGTATTACCATACATGTGGTCGAAGCACTCGAGTCAATAATCCACGGATTTTGACTTTCCACAGATGCGAAATGCAAGCGTTTGACGAATTTGGTGTTGTAGATGCTTGAGCCAAATTGGTTGATTTCATCCTTAAATATTCTTGATACTCTTCATGAGAGAACTTGGGCTCATCAACTTCAGATTTTGAGGTATTAGCTGCCTTATCAGGAAAGTCATGCAGAGCAAAGCAATTTTCCTTAGTATGTCCCATTCTTTTGCAATGAGAGCACTGAGTACGTCCTTTCCCACCACGTCCTCTAGAGTTGTGATTACCTCTTCCACGAGCAGAAATCATGGCGGAAGAATCAGCAAGTTCCTGATTGTTTTTGCTTTTGATAGAAGGAACACGAAGTAGCCTTGTGATTAAACTCTCCGTAGAAGGAACTTCTTCTCCAGTTAGAATCTGGTCTCTAACATGATTAAACTCTGGATTCATAGCCCTAAGAATCATTACCATATAGAATTTATCCAGCTTCGTCTTTCTTTCTTCTAATGATTCTGCCTCTAGGAACATTTTTAATTCTTCAACAGCTGACTGAGCTTCAGCAACAAAGGACATCATGGAATTATCCTCTTGCTTAAGGGAGGCTAGTCTATTAGCAGAATCATAAAGTCGTTAAATATCATTAACAAAGATATTTTGGGCCTTTTTCCAAAAAGAATTACATGTCTTGAAGGCTCGAAGAGTGCTCAAAATATTTGGTTCAACAGATTGCCATAATAGTGCACAAAGTTGATAATCCAATTTCTTCCATTGAGGAGCCTGATCTGCTGGTTTAGTACTTCCATCTTCTTCTAGATGATCATGAACTCCTTGACCTAGAAACCTGGGGTCAACAGAGGAAGCCCAAGACAAATAATTTTTCCCATTTAATTTTTCTGTGGTTATAGTCGGAGTCCCAGAAAAAGATACAGACACAGGTCTTGACATTTTCCAGGAAACAAGAAAGGACCAGCGTGCTGTTAGAGAGAGGACCGAGAGAGGCAGAGAGAAAAAACGCAAACCCACCACGTTTTGTGACAGAGAACACAAAACAAAGTGCAGATCTGACACCAGGGCGACGAGGCGAGCCGGATAGAGGTGGCCTGGAGCAAAACAGCCACCGGGAGGGCGGCGCGTGAGGCTCACGCGCGGAGGAAGCCGCCGACGGGGGTGGGGCGGGGCGGCGCGTGAGGCAGAGACAGAGGAAGCGAACACTGGGGTTGGGTCGCACTCCTCGAGGCGAGCCAAACCCAAGTGTCAGAGAGAGAAAAGGTGCCGGAGAAGACAACACCGGCGGCGAACGGCGGCAGACGGCGATTAATGCCAGAAAAAAATAAACAGAGACAGGCAGAGCGGGATGAACCCGCTCTGATACCAACTTGAAATAGAAAAAAGAAAATAAAGAACTGATTTTGAGAGCCTGAAATCATCTTCTTGTGTTCTCTTATTTATAGGAGATAAAAATACAAATTCAGAGATACAATTAATAGAGAGACATGATTAATCCTAGAGAAGATAAACAGATGCATTCTAGGAACTAGGTCTACAACTAATCTCATAAATGCCCAACAAGATACACTTAATCTAATAAATACTTCAACAATAACCATGAGTACAAGTACCCATTGTAAAATTCTCAAATAGTACATGGACCTTGAGAAATAATTAAACGTGAAACCCGGTCCCTAAGCTATTTGAAACTCTGCAAATCAGTCCATGTAGAATCCTAGCAAGATACCTACTAAAAACAGTCTCAAATAGTTCAGAGACAAACAATCAATTGTTGTTATTATCTTCACATTTGATTATTATACGCCGATAAACCTACAATAGTTTTCCACACCAATGTACAGAAAATTTTGAAATAACAATTCAAAAGATGCAATTTTAGCATAACTGCATGGGGCTACAGTTTTAAGAATAACCAAACATAGGCCCTATGTAATAACTTAAAAGCAACTTGATAAGTTGCAATTTTAGCATAACTGCTTACATCTAGGAAACAAGCTTCCATCAGTTGCAAGCTAGTTGCCAAAACTTCAGCTTTGCTTTTATTTCCTTCACTAACAAATTTCATGTCCCGTTCCATAACTGCTCTAAGATATGGTTTCCATAGTTTATACCTGAAACCTCAATGGTAGCAAAAGGCAAAGACATAATAATGTCCAAGTTAGATTAACAATGTCACAACGCAGTTGGGGGAAGCATTAAATTTAAAAATCACATTTTGGATTCAATCCCAAACAAGGAATTCAAATTACAAAAAATTAATTATTTGACAAATGATTTCCCCTTTAGCAACAATTAAAAACGAAAATTTATTAGGTCAATCGCTGGATAAATATTAACCACACTTTGAACATCATTAATCATCTGAAAAATAATTAGAAAGAACTAGATATTGAACACCTTTAGTTGAATGGTTAATTGTTCTTAAACTAGAAATATCTTTACCAATGATTCCTCTTCTTCTTTCCTAATTTTTTCCACAAAAAAATGATTGCATCTCACTGACAGAATATAGACATCCACTCAAGTTAGATAAAGGATATACTAACAAGATTAGACATGAGATTGGATATACTTTTTAAATGAATAGAATTACTTACCCCATGTCGTCATACCCCATAACAAGTGCCTCACCCTACAATAATATCAAGCTCATGACTAATAACAATGTGATGTGAAAAAATATCATAATTCTTTTTTTTAACAGCTTTGAAAATTAGCTTAAGACTAAGCTAATAAATATAAATAAATAAATATTCTTCAAGTATTAACACAACGAAAAGTATTATAGGTACGTAAACCTTTTCAATTTTTGTTACATTGGTCTACTTCTATTTTATGCAAGAAAAACAAGAAGGATACAACTAATGCATATCAATAAAACTAATAATCAAGTTCAATCCCGTATCGCTCAGTCATGAAGCTCTAATGCTCTATAGAAAATAAAATTAACAACAATAGGGAGTAGCAAGACTTAATGTCATGCTATGTGTTAAGGTTCCAACATAAAACCAATTGGCAATATGTGGAGTAGCCTAACATGTATTTAAACCATACCAAATGACATGAGGTAGGCGATGTGGGACTTTCAACACACCCCCTCCAACAAAGCCCGCCGGACCAGGCAAAGGGTACTTTTGACCCAACTAAAGGGCAACTTTTGGCCCATGACAATAACCGGAAAGATGTTAGGCTTTGGCTCTGATACCATGTTAAGGTTCCAACATAAAACCAATTGGCAATATGTGGAATAACCTAACATGTATTTAAACCATACCAATGGATATGAGGTAGGTGATGTGGGACTTTCAACACACCCCCTCCAACGAAGCCTGCCGGACCAGGCAAAGGGTACTTTTGACCCAACTAAAGGGCAACTTTTGGCCCATGACAATAACCGGAAAGATGTTAGACTTTGGCTTTGATACCATGTTAAGGTTCCAACATAAAACCAATTGGCAATATGTGGAGTAGCCTAACATGTATTTAAACCATACCAAATGATATGAAGTAGGCGATGTGGGACTTTCAACACACCCCCTCCAACGAAGCCCGCCGGACCAGGCAAAGGGTACTTTTGACCCAACTAAAGGACAACTTTTGACTTCTTCATATTTAAAAAAAGCACAAACCCTAAGGCACAAAACCAGAGAGAAAAACAAACAATCTTCTATCACTCCCTTTCTCACTCTTTTATAGCAGTTGCAGCCAGAGGGAATGATCAACACCTCCTCCTACATCAGTAAAATTCTTCGGATCATTATGGAAGAATGACTGGCGCACAAGCAAACAGCCTTGTTTGGCAGCATGCTGCCTCAGAATAATATCAAGAACTCTTATTGCTTCTTGATAATTATCAGAATCCTGCCCACGGAGAGCATTGACAATGGCCTGCAAAGGAATCTTTGAAGCAAAACTGATCTCAACTTTAAACGTTTTGGCTCTATTTTGGCGCCTCATCCTCTTCTTGTCACTCTCACTTGATTCTTCAATTCCATCAAGACTGACATTCCCATTATTTCTGCTAGTAGAAACAACATCCTCCAGAACAACAGTAAACTCAAGATGGTTGCGAGCAAGAGATCCAAGTGTAAAAAGAGTTTTTTCCCCATCATAAGCAAAATCCTTCCCGTTCAATTCAGAATCATATGTCTCGTGCACCTTCTCTAGCACCTTCCTCCCTACACCCTTGCCCTCTACAGGACGTCCATCTTCATAAGAAAGAGATACACTATACTGAAAAAAGTGACCATCAGTGTTTCCAACATTCACTCTGAAGTGATTGGTTTGAAGTAGCAACTTCGTCCCTTTAGAAGCAAGGCCATGCCTGGCTATTGGGAGCCTCAAAACCTTTTTCTTTTCAGGCTCTACTTTGACAGGCACAACATCTGATGGGATAACAGGTGGTGGGGGAGGCAAGGAATCCTCATTCTCCCTTCCATTTAGCCCAGAAGAAGACATATCCCGAAATCAGTGACAGAAGCACACAGCAAGCATTGACAATTATCAAGAACTATATATCAACACTATGATAGATTAACTCTTTGTTCAGGTAACTGTATATTTCGTTGTTGTCAAACTTAATGCAAGAACACAAAGATTCTAATTGCAAGTAAGTTTGTAAATATACTAATTATTTCATCTATATGTATGGGTCACAGATCAAATTCCTAAGTTTCAAAGTAATGCAGCACCCATAAGTGTCAATTAAATCAGATGGTTGACAACTTAATATAAAGATTCAGTGGTCAGCATATTCAATTGTACAATAATACTACAACAGTGTAGGCAAAATTGGTTTTAATAATTGAAATCTTGGCATGATGATCTATAAATATTAGTCATAGCACCCTGTTCTACCTAGTAACCTTGTATAATAACTCTTCTAAACAGAACTAAACAAAAGTCAAGACATCCCGAGAAACATATCACAAGACATGGAGATCAGTCACAATTTTCTACTGCAAATTAACAATATTAACTTACAAGATTAGTTGGTGTGAAACGAGTGTTGGCATCCTTAGTTGCATAAAATCGATCAAGCAGCTTCTTGATGTGATCATGCATTGTAGCATCAGTACCAATACCCTCCTTTTGAGAAGAAACAAAAACAATAAATATACAATTGTCAATATCTAATGACACATAATTAGATTCTCACACAGGAAAATAGGGGAAAGTATTTAACCCCCTTAAAGATGCCCTAAATTTTAATTTTGATCCTTAAACATTACATTCTTGGCAAATAAATACCTTAAACTTTAGTTTATCCTAATTGGTCCTCAAACCTTATCTCTTTTTGCAAATAAACACCTTAATTTCAAATTCATCTTAATTAATCCTTAAAATTTTGCTTTTCATAAATAATTTAATATACTAAATTGAGATTAAACTTTAATAACAAATTGTTTCAACTATTTATCTACTTATATTCTCAATCATTTATTAGTTTTATATTTATAAATCACTTTTTCAAACATAAAAACAAATTAAAATCTAGGATTAATAAATCAAATAGACGTTTTAATTGTTTTTTTTTTCTTATTTATAAAGTCTTAATTTTATTATATAAAAAATGAATTGTACCAAAAATAAGTAGAAGATATAAATTATTTAACTTGATACCGTTAGGGGCAAAAAACTATTTACAAAAAATTGATAGGTTAAGGATTGATTAGAATAATAAAATCCTAGGTGTGTATTTACAAAAACAGTAAAACTTAAGCATCAATTGGAGTAAAATTAAAAGTTCAAACTGTCCATTTGTGAATGGGATAAAGTTTGAGGATCAATTACGACAAAATTAAAGTTTATAGAGTTTATTTGTGAAAAGGGTAAAGTTCATTGAGTTAAATATACTCTTTTCCCTTTAAAAATATTATTCAGTCAGTCAAATTCTGAATACTTCTCACCTTGTCCATACAACTCAGCAAATCAGCTTCACTCAAAAGTGGTGGTGGTCGGGTTACTCCTGAATCAAGGATTAATGTAGTTGGAATGAACTGTAATATCAATAACACTACCGTGAATATTTATTCTTCTTAGGTTTCACACAAAATGATTGAAGAAAAAAAAATGCATTAGATACACCGTAAGACAAGAGTCTTTAAAGCAAAATATGAAAAAGATTCAATTATAGCTGAACTAGAACTTAAACCTAATGTCAACTGACAGAAATGAAACAATACACTCCAGCAGGCTCAGAATAAGAGCCTGCACACCCGTCCTAACATCTTCAGCTTGGTGTCAAAGTTCAAACTCTTACTCACTCACAACTCAAACAGAGTATAGAGGGAACTCACTCACAATTCATATAGAAAAAATATAGAGGAAAACTCAAGTGACTGTATTTCATTTCTGCTTTCCACAATATACAATAGGTCTATTTATACTTCTAACTTCCAGCTAATTACAAAATTATTTATTTTTAATAGCTTCTAATATGTATTATTACAATTTCCCCCCCTTAAAACAAGGACTTGACCTCAAGTCCTTTCAATTACTCTCCACTCAAAATCAGGGAACTGCATTTGTAAATCATGTAACTCTCTCCAAGTTGCATCTTCAGGATTTGTTTCCTCCCATTGCACAAGTACTTCAGTAATTAGTTTCCAATCAAATTGTATTCTTTTCTCAACATCAAATAGGTGAAAGTCGAGACTTTTATTCGGCAAATACTCGTATACAAGTATCTTTTCATTTTCCTCTAAGCAACATGCCAACAGTCTTACAAGGTTGCGATGCCTCAATTTAGCTATAAACATTACTTCATTATTGAACTTCTCCGAACCTTGACCAGAAAATTTTGAGAGTCTTTTGTTAGATACGTTTTTTGTTCCAACAGTATGCCATGTTGGGTATGTCAAAGCTTTCCCAAAGAAGTCCTCATTTGAGTACCTTATAACGCAGTAATCATTCCACACCAGAGCAGAGCTGAGCGGCTTCTTTTGTAGCAGTGGAAACACAAAATTGACAAAAGTATCCAACCATGCCACCACCACAATCATAGAGGCCATACGCAGAGCTATTGGTGCCTATGGTGGTGTGGTTATAACCATTGCTTGTGGCTGCATCGGAGGACATCCATGTGAGGATTTTGTCAAAGTTGGTTTGGTATGCACTGCTGAGAGTTTGTTGGGTGCCGTTTCCGCAGTTACCTCCCAGGTTTGTCCAGTCAACAATTGAGGGCAAGCGTTGGTAAACTTGTGACGAGTTTGCATCTGGAAGCCCTTCTGAAATCAGGTACGTATGCAATTTTGCTTCTTGTTTCAATCTTGAAATCTCAGCTACTGGATCATCAAAACAACTATCATCAAATCGGTATGCCACATCTTGAAGAATTTGTTCCCAAGACTTGTTCTTGAAAGACGTTTGCTGCATGTAATGGCGTTGCCACGAAAAAGCTTTTCCATCCATTGATAATAAAAGCAATCTGCCACGTTGATGAACTGGTGTGGATTCCAACTCAAAAAATTGTTCTACCTTTGCTCGCCATTCACGGAAATTTGTACCATCAAATGAAGGAAATTGGATTTGTGCTCTTTCAATCACAGATTTGGAAGAAGCACCTTCCAGGTCATCTTGAATTATGATCTTTTGCCCACCATTCCATGTCGCAAGTGAAGATACGATAGTGTCGATAGATTTCTGGAGAGAATCCAGCGTTTCTTTCGTTGAATCTTGAGCCATGATGAATGATTTCTCAAAGGATTCCATACGCGCTTCAAGTTCCTTAACTGTCACCATTGTCCCAACGTACCCAGCTTACTGATACCAATGTCAAAGTTCAAACTCTTACTCACTCCAACTCAAACAGAGTATAGAGGGAACTCACTCACAATTCATATAGAAAGAATATAGAGGAAAACTCAAGTGACTGTATTTCATTTCTGCTTTCCACAATATACAATAGGTCTATTTATACTTCTAACTTCCAGCTAATTACAAAATTATTTATTTTTAATAGCTTCTAATATGTATTATTACACTTGGATGCAACCAGATAGCGCCAGATATAACATGAGGAAAAATTCAACAAAGTAATCAAGCACTAAGACAAGAATGTCATATAAAATCTGATGCTATAATTCAACTCAAACCTGTTGACCAATCGTATATGTGGGAATCAGTGATCCACCCCAAGATTCATAGTGATAAACATCCAAGTAGTTTTTCTGAACAGATTAAAATCAGACAATAACATAATCAGAACATGTGCAACTTGCCCCTAACATTTATTAAAAGATTAGTAAATAAAAAAAATCCACTCATTTATGAACATGCACCACAAGAATTAAGTTATTCCCACATGTAATTCAATGCTAAAGTAATAATTAAATAGAATTCAGTTTGTAAAAAGGGAAAAAGTGTTAGTTCTATACAGCAACAAATAATTAAGGAGATTCATAATATAATGAAGGATGCAGGAATATGAAGTCCTTATTACTGTTAAGTGTTGAAAAATAATTTTTGAATGATTCAACTAGCAGTGCGATTGAAAATGATGAACAAAAACCATTACAAAATAGGTGATCTTGAAAGAATAAAACCAAAGTGCAGTAAGCTCGTTGTAGTTTTAAGGAGATCTTTTCAGTTTTGCTATGGTAATCTGCATAACCAATATTGCTGATTGGTCAGCAATTCACTCTCTCTAATTCCAAAAGGATAAAACGAATCTTTAATACTTTATTTCAATATGTCATATTTAGGTGAGAAAATTTTAAGCTTGAGAAGGAATACGAATGAAGATAGAAAGACAGTTTCAGATTGGCAGGAAGAAAATTCAACCTTAAGTATTAAAATACATAGGACCCGGGATGTTAGAGAATTAAAAACATAGTAGTAGTCAATTAGTAATTTATAGTTGAAAGGGCAGAAGCCTGGAATAAATGGAGGAGGGGTTGAAGGGGAAGTTATTCACAAATGCTAATTTCCGAAAACAATACATCAGTTGCAAATGTGAGGAGTGCATAGCACTTGAGTCTCTCTTCCTACCCAGGATATGGCATTTTGCTCAGGTACTATCATTCATACCATATCAAAAGCATCTGAACCAGTTCAGAATGAAGTCAATAAGCCATTATCATATATTTAAGAAAGAGTCCAACCTGGCCCAAAACAACCCCAATCATCTGAGCTAGAGTTAAACACTCATTGTTTATTCTCTAGATATTTATTCCTCATGACTTACTTCTTAACTTAAGAAAAAGATTGATAAATATCCAATATCCTAGTTTATGTACACTAACACTTTTCTGTGCAGAATTACAATTTTATCTCAAACCTTGATTTTATCGTGATCCCTATATCAAATACAGGAAGACTTTAAGGATGAGAAATGGGTTCAATCCATGAATGAGGAGATGAGTTCATAGAAAAAAATGAGATTTAGGAGATAGTAGAGAAACATGAAGATTGTTCAGAGAGACAAAAATAGATGGAAGAGATGTTGAAAATTGTGTATGGACTATACAAGAGACTATTTATATAAACTAATTGTTAGATTTCTTCTTAAATTCAATTAACATTAAGTGAAGTTGTCCTAAAGATATATAAGTGGCACCTCAAGAATTAAGTTGTGGAACTTCCTAACAACCCGTCTCTACATGTGTCGGTCAAACCAAGTGTGCCTACCACCAAAATAGGAGATTACTAAGATGAGTTGTAAGCTTTAATTCCGTGTCAAATTTCATCTTAAAACCAATTGGCACCAAACGATTTTAAGTAAAGAGGGACTTCCCAACATCGATGACAACCAAGACAAATAATCATAGGACATTTTATTCTTATGTACATTATATGATATGCCGATAAATCATATTCTAATATATCTGATTCTAATCTAATATTCTTACAATTATAAAGATTCTAATTAAATAAGAAAACAAATCAAACTAAAAAAGAAAAAAAAATCCAAAGACATCATCTAAGATACTCTAAAATATTTTAAGATAATATTTTTAGATATTTCTTATATTTCTAAACTGTAAAATATTGGTCTAATGACTCCATAATTTTAGAATAACTTTTAAGATGAAAGCTGTATAAATAGAGATCTTAATACGTCTGAATTATCAGAAAATATATATTCATCTTTCCTCATATTCCAAGTGATTAAAAATAGATCAAATATTGTCTAAGGCCACAATATGGCTATCGACATCATGCATGACAGAAATCTCACCTCTAGAATCACCCTCCCACATGCAGAAAATAGTTCACCAGCAATATCAATTTCAACTGTGGTTTCAGCTCCTACAGCAGGCTTTGAGACACATGCCAAAAAGTGGCGAACAACCAGCTCATACAGTTTCTGTGGTAATTTAAGAAATAATGTGAATGTCCAAGCAAAATCCAATGCTTAAAGTAAAAAGTGTGGAATGGATTATGTCTGACACGGTGGTCTTGGCTCCATCCAGATTCTCCAGTAGAAAATTTTGTGGGGTGAATGGGTGGATGAGCCTTGTCATCATGTCCTCCACCTCTAGGGTTTCTCCAAAGCCCTGCCCCGGGGTCCAACAATCGTTGTGCATATACTCCCCACTCAGGATGCCCTTGTTGTTCTTGCACAATTATCTACAATTCAAAGGAAAATAAAAAAACGATATTATTAAGGATTAAGGTAAAAGAACAATATTGTTAAAACAATACAGCTTGAACAACACAAATGAAAATCTTAATAATTAAGTAGAGTGGCTGTAAAAGTCAGATCTTAACTTGCATAAAAAAAATATTTTAATTTCTCCTACCACATATTACAAAAGAAAATTACCTCACATATATAAAATAATTACATATGTTTACAATGAGCATCTAGAAGAACTCAGGTACCCATATTATATTAACATACAGTTATCAGTCTCCAATAACATTCAAGGCAATAAGCAAACTATGTTTAATTTCTTTCATCGGTCAACATGTGCAAAAAATTTAAAACTACCTCTTCAAAGTTATAATTCCTAAGCCCCTTTCCTTTTTCTTCATTATAACACACAAAAGAAATACATATAACTACAACCTCTGTCAAATAATTAAAATTCTCAGGTGATGCATTAAATGTTTTCTTATAGTAATAAAGAGAATCAAACAGCGTCCATGCCAAATAGTATGTTCTCCGAGTAATCATAAAACTGAGGGCTTCCTCTTTTCAAACCACAGTCCATGTTCAATTACCACATGCAAATTAGCAATAACTCTACTCCTTTTTTCTCGTATCTTTAAAGTCCAACTATAATCCAGGAGACAATAACTGTGATGATTATTGATGTTTGGATAGATGCAAAAGGCAACTCACATGCAAGTCAGTCCTTGAAGAAAAGCTATCAGTCTCTGTACGGGGATAACTGATGAAACCAGCTTGGTAAAGTTCTTCTGCCACCTATAAATAATTAATTAAGTAGTAAGAATAGTTGCATATAAAAACATCAAATCTGTAAAACGAGGCAAAAAGAGAATTGGAATGAAAATAGCAAAATTATTTGTTGCTCTGAATTTGTCTGCAAAATAGTTGTTTAAATAAATTTGTTCATTCACACCATCAATTTGCAATCAGAAACATACACATAAATGGCAAACTACAATCCAGGCTTCAATAATAATGACACCGACACAAAAGCTTTTAGGAATACTAGTGAACAACAACACCGCCTTTGAACGGCATAACATGCACACACAAATCTCAAATATGATGCATATGAATAGGAACTATGGATCAAAAGTTTGATTGTTAAACTTTTGTGGTTTTACTTAGGCAACATCTAGAAGTGTATTATTTCTTCTTTATACACAATAATTACTAATTATTACAATGAAAGAAAATCATCTTTTATAAAGCTGTAGACTTGAAATGGACATCACTAATCAGTAGAAACCACGCAAACAAATGGTAATGTCCACTTACCTTCATTGTGTGCTCAGAACTGATCCTGAAGTATCTTGAAGCTCGTTTTTCAAGCTCAATGGTATTCAAAGGATGTGGAGGATACTTCAGCTTTTCCTGTTGTCTAACGTTTGTCACCTGAAAAGTAATCAATATCTGTAATGAAAAAATTACTCTGAATTCAGCATATGTCTCACCAGATTTTTTTAAAATGACTCACTGTTGCTGTTGGTTCCTCAACACACATCTCATATATTATAACCGCACATGTATAATCAAACAAGTGGCCCCGCCTGCCAAATGAATTTAGATTACATCTTAGCCTGCGGTCAGTGCAACAACAAGAACCATGAATGTATCAAAATCTTAAATCCTTTGTATCTTACATCCAGTTGAACTTAGCAATGCACCCATCTGAATCATGTGCACAGTTGATTGACCAAAACTCTTCTGGCTCATGTGCTTGTATCTCCCAGTATCTTTCCACAACAAATCCAAGTGTAGGAAACTGTAGTCGAAACAAAAATGCGACTAAATCTCATAAGAAGTCAATAACCTTTTAAGCACAAAAAACTCAGTGCCATTTTCAACAGAACGTACCTGGCAAGGGCCGTAACTTAGGATAAGGTTTCTGTCATCTGTAGCAGTGTCAATGATAAAAGCATCTTTCATCAACATGGTCTGGAACCTCGTGAAAGAAGCCCCTATACGAAGATCTATTTCCTAGGAAAAAGCTCGACAACTATACGTCACCACCACAAAATAGCAAAATAACATAATGGTGAACATTAAAAAATAAACAAATAAATAAATAAATAAAAAATAGCATCGAATCCTAGTTTTAATTTGCAACAAACAGATTCACTGAAATACAAAAATCCAGCTCCTTCTAGTTCAGAAAAGAGTGGCTACTCACCTGCCTAGCATCGACAGCATCAGCAAGACACTTTTTCGGCTCCTCGAGATTCTGTACAGCTTGATGGATCTCCCTATGAAATGAAGCAACAATCAAATAAAAAAACAATAAAAAGTTAAAAAAAAAAAAAAAAACAGACAACAGGACACAAAGCTGAACCTGTCAATCAATGCAGAAAACCGAGCACGTTTTATAGTAAGACGAGGATTCACCGCAGTACACACGTCAACCACTTCAAACGCAATGTTCTCACCCTCCCTATCGCAATCGAGCCACAGAACAAGCCATTGGCACCTCCTCGCTTCCTCCTCCAGCGTCCTCTTGATATCCTTTTTGTCCTAGGGTTAACAACGCAAACAATCGCAACGGAAAATTAAACGCACACACAGATACATAGAGATAGGGAGCACCAGTGTTTTTCGATGTGAACCTCGGGGACGAATTTATGGACAGGGGCGTGGAAGAGATCAGCGGGATTGCACGCGTGCCACTTGCGGTAACGCTCGTCGAACTCGAGCTCCATGAGGTGCCCGGTGACGGAGGTGAAGAGCATATGGCATGGTTGGCCGCGAATGGTGTAGTTGAACTCGAAGATCTTGTTGTAGCGGGAACGCCCCTCCCTCATTCTCACGCCCTGGTTCCGAGAGAGAATGGTGGCGACGGACTTCGCCACCGAGGGCTTCTCCGCCACGTTCAGAACGTTCATGCTGCGCGCACCCACGCGTTTGTTCGTGGAAGAGGGAAATAGGATTTGGCGGTAACGCGATTTTCGTTCGCGATGAAGACTGTGCTAGTGTTACTAGCTACAGCGAGCCCCCGCGAGGAGTGAGGGCACGATTTTGAAGTTCAAATCAACGGAAAGTTTTTCTCCCGAACGTGTCTTTGTTAGCGGGAAAAAATATAAAATAATAATAATTAATTATTGTTTATTATTGATAATTTTTTCTGTAAAATAAATTATTGATCGTTTATATTTTTCGACATGAAGACTAAACTTTGTACTGTGTTAAAAATTGCAGTCAAATTAAGATGTGTGTGAAGTTAATTACAATTATTACAGGAATTAACTAATATTTTAGGCGCGTATTTTACAGAATAAATATTTATTTTATATAATTTCAGTTTTCAAAACAAATGCCGTGATGACTAATTTTTTTATAAAAACACCTGCGTAAAAGTTACTAAGCAAGTTATATGCTTATTAATATCATAGCAATTTTATGGTCTTTTTTTTTGTGTGTGTGGAAATCAAAAGCCATGTACATTTGCGTGAAATGTGTAGTTCAATGTTAGTCTTTTGCCCTCAAACATGTTTTATCTCCATTGATTCAGTACCGTTGTTTTATGTTATAAATACTATTGAACATTATTAGAACTTTATTTACCTACATGTATTAATGTTGTATTATTTCTCAGTTTTTTTTTCTTTTTTTTTTTACTATTTTAATTGTTCACATTTATATTGAGCCAAGTTCGCATGCCTTTGGATAACATTAAATTTCAGTTTCCGAAGAGTACGAAAGTAAAGCTTATAATTTTGGAATAAAATTATCAATTTTAAGGGGAAAGATGCTAAGAGGGGTTAATTACAAACTCAAGGTCAAATAGTTTTAACTTTTCATTTTTTATGTTCAAATAATTTATAAAGAACCTGAAATCAGATTAGCTAAAATGATGACTTTCCGAGATAAAGGTGGTTATTGTTAAATAAAACAAAGTCATGATAAAATTATGAGATGTTGAATCTGATATATCCGATTAGACATCTCCTTATAAACTTATATGAATATAACTATACAAAAAAATATTTTTAGGTCTTTAAATAATTATCGCATCTTTAGTAAATATTACTTAAGGCATCCGAGGATGCCCTAAAAAAATACTCCATAAATTTAAGAAGAATAAAAAAGAAAAAAAAAACTTACTCAGATAAAGAAGAAATAAGGAAATAGAGTTTGGAATTCTTCGTTTATTGATATGAACAAAGATACATATGGTAGAGGAGAAGAGAAAAATATAGAGAAGATGGTAAGAGAGCATAGGAGAGAGAAGTAGAGAGGGATTTTTAGAACCTTGCTTAGCATAAGAGACTTACAAGTTCTTTTATAAAAAAATCTTATGACCAATAACTTGTTGTTCAGGTTACCTAATGACCGGTAACTTGTTGTTCTAGTTACCTAATAACCCGATACTTGTATAGTAGGTTTTTACCCTTCAGTCTATTACTCAATAAGAGTAAAATTACTGTGTCACAGGTAAAAACATTTACAGACATCTTCTAGTAATTGCTACAGAAGTTTTGTCTCAAAGTTCTTCTTCGATCATCTAATTTGTGTAGTTTTTCTCCTTGTTATCAGAGGAAAATGAAGCTCCAAGAGTTTCTTGTCCATGAATTCTCGTTTCGTCATAAATTTCTTTATATATCCTTTCTCTTTCAAAGTGTTTTACCAGGATGGGACTGGCTTCGATGGGGAAAGGATGAAATTCATTTCCCATAAGCCTTTTCCAATATAGTTTGGTGTCGGCTGTTTCTTTTGGAAGAATAAATTATGAAATGTCCCTTTTTGAGAAATCCCAGTTAGATCCTTCTATGTATGCTTTCTAGAGTTGTTACTGGTATAACTTGTCTTTGTTGAGGGAAAGTCCCTTTAAAGGGTCATTGTCGCCTTCGTTCCCTCTCTTTCCTAGAAAAATACCTCGGGACGTTTTTTTAGGGGTCTTTGAGAGGGAAGCGAATTGTCGCGATATGATGACTAGACTCGCATTTTTATAAAAGTAAATTGGTCATCGCTTTAAGGACATCCGATAACTAAACTATCCCTGAAAGCGAGTGTCGTCGTCGTCAAAAGAGGCGGTCGGAGCGACGCGATGGTTTTGATTGACTCACGTTTTTTAAAGAAGAAGTTCAACACCTTTAGGTTGTCCGATAACTGGGCTGGACCTAAAGGTGAGGTTTTCGAAAAAGGTAAAAAGGCATTGGTTTTAGAAAAACAACTTTGATCATTATAACCAAAGTTGGGTAAGGGAGTTAGTTATGTGTGAGGAAGGTGTTTGCACCCCACAACGCCCCTTTCGGGTTCCTGTGATAGACTAGTTTATAAAAATAAAGACTAAGAAATTATACTTTTACCCTATTATTTCATCTACTTGCAGAAATTAAATGTCTACATGGCTCTAATACTTAATATGCATACAAGGAAAGCGATAAAGAAAGCAATAAAAGAGAGTATGTGGAAGAAACCTCCGAAGCAAGCTTTGTATTAAATTTTCAAAGATTGAGGATACTTTTTTGGCTATCCCCTCACTCTACAACATTGCCCACTCCTTAACCGATAAAAAGACTCTAGATACAGAGTGTCTAAAAAGAGCACTCGAACTCTGGAAATGCTTCAGAGAGGTTTTAAGAAGGTAAGAATATCGAAATCTGTGGAAAAGTGTGTGAAATTAGGGGGGGAAGGACCCTATTTATAGGAATTTGCGCCAATCAAGGCGAGACGGCAGTCTCGACCCTTGTCAGGCGAGACGGCTGTCTCGCCTCACAAGTGGCAAGATGGTCGTCTCGTCTTTGTAAGGTGAGACAGTTGTCTCGGACTCTTGGCGATAATTCTCTTATTTTCGTGTACAGAAGGCTTTCCTATCTTAACATGGAGCCTAGTAATCATGCCTAGGGACTTAAAGAGGCCTTATCCATCTTCGAACAAAAGTCTTCTGGCTTTATTGTGAAGCCAGGCAAGATTTTGGGTCTATAACTGCCCCCCCCCCTTCGCCTGACGAATTGACTATGGGTCGGTGTGCCATAACGTCAATTGGCAGGTGAAGGAGTTAACCCTCTTGCCCGGTTGCCCTTCGGATGCTCCTCTTTATATGGTAACTGACCCTCGGGACCAAGAATGTAGTATGGTGCTGTCTTTGGGATGCTTCCTTGTTGCGGATGCTGATCCTTTAGACGATATGTTGTGAAATTTCAAGATGCTCCTTTTATACGGTAGCTGACCCTTTAGTTGTGATAAGTAGGGAACCTCAGGATGCTCCTTCGATGCGGTAGCTGACCCCTTAGATGATGCCTCAGGATGCTCCTTTAACGTGGTAGCTGACCCTTTGGTTGTGAATGGTGGGTTATGTCTTTCGGATACCCCTTTGCAACGTGGTTGATCCTTCGGACGACGTAAATCCTGCCTTCGAGATACTCCTTTGCAGCAGAGCTGATCCTTCGGGCGATGATAGTGGATTGTGTCTTCCAGATACTCCTTTGCAACGGAGTTGATCCTTCGAACGATGTGTGGTTCTCTATCTTCTGGATGCCCTATTTGTTATGGTGGTTGATCCTTTAGCTGTGATGAGTACGGAACCTCAGGATGCTCCTTCGATGCGGTAGCTGACCCCTTGGATGATGCCTCAGGATGCTCCTTTGACGTGGTAGCTGACCCTTTGGTTGTGAATGGTGGGTTATGTCTTTCGGATACCCCTTTGCAACGGGGTTGATCCTTCAGACGACGTAAATCCTGCCTTTGAGATACTCATTTGCAGCGGAGCTGATCCTTCGGGCGATGATAGTGGAATGTGTCTTCCGGATACTCCTTTGCAACGGAGTTGATCCTTCGGATGATATGTGGTTCTCTATCTTCTGGTTGCCTTATTTGCTATGGTGGTTGATCCTTTTGATAGAGAAGGGGGTGGCGGTTTACTGCTCTAGCTCATGCGCCGATGTATATAGATATCTGTCTTTCGGATGTACCTTTTGCTATGGTGGCCGATCCTTTTGGCAGAGAAGGTGGTGGCAGCTTACTACTCTTGCTCATGCGCCGACTCCATGGGGAGTGGTTTTCGTTCGAAAATGTGTTTTTAGCTTTTTAGGTAGCCATCTGATATGCCAGAAATTTTTTATGAGTGCCTCTTAAGTAGGCAGGAATCCGCTGGGGGATTTGTTGATTTCAACGATGCCTTTGAGTATGCGGATGCTTCACGGGAAGTGAAGGCTTTTGAGTTGTATTGTTTTGCCTCTAAGTAGGTTGATATTCCCTTCGGGGATGTTGGTGAAAGAATTAATGGTTGAGTTCAAGAGGGGGGGTGAATTGAACTTTAAAACTTTTTCGCAAAACTTACTTTCTTTTGGAAGAATGAGTTATCTTTATTCAATTTTTTGCAAAGGTAATTTGGTTTAAACACGACAAGTTTATAGACAGAAAATAAAAGAGATGAAAGAAGAAATTTAACACACAAATTTATACTGGTTCACTCTAATCCAGAGCTACATCCAGTTCTTGACAAACCTGTCAAGTTCCACTAATTCCAAGTGAAAATTACAAACCTGTCAGGTTGGTCAGATTGTTTAGGCTATTTTAAATAAACGTTTCGTTTGTGAAGTTGCGTCTTTAACTAATTGTTTTGTGGCGCTTTATCACGACTGATTGACTTCCCTAGACTGCCCTTCAGGTTTTCAACCTAGGATGTTGTGTTTTTTCTTTATCCTAACTTTTGTCTAGGTTTCCTCTTTTTCTTGTTTTTGGGAATCCTAGCGGACATTATTTTGTAAACCTAATTTTTTCCTAGGCTACCCTTTATTGTTGTTCGGGTTTTCTAGCGGGTTTACCCTAACTTTTGTGTAGCCCCCTTAATGGGTTTTCTACTGGGTATCTTGCCCTCTCTTTTTTGGCATTTGGCTTCTATGGGCTTCTTTTGATTTTCTTTGTTTTCTTTTTGCACAAT